GGTAAATATAGGTCTGTATCGGAAGGTACGAGACGCACAGAACAAAGACACAACGTTTCTAGAAGATCGTCATCGTCGTCTTCAGCGGTGTCGCTGGACGTTCGTTGCGCTTGTCAATATTACCAATGCGACTCCCTATTGCCCGAGAGGGTTAATCCCGTAGGCACTCGACCTAGTAGCAGAACAAGCAATAATCCCTTTTTGTTGCGGTAAGAATTTGCAAAGGCAAATAGTTGCAATCATCCAAACAGTTCCTCAAACTTCATCATCATAAGGTCGTCAGTCAGTAAGAATGGTTGTGCACGCACCTCCACTCTACTCTTTCCTATCCTGAACTAATCTTCGCATTTCCCTAAAACTAGGAAAACCCATATCCTTAACTATTTGCGAACAGTAATCTAATCTAGGGCCACCTCTAACCCTCCTAACTCCCGTTTCTGCTTCCAATATGTCTCTGACTAGACCTTCACTGCCTGAGAAGGTGTCCTACCAACCTATCTCGTCTATTTTTTATTGACTTCTATAGAGTCCTCTGTTCTCCTATTCTTTCCAATACTTCTTCATTTCTAACCTTTTCCACCCACGATATCCTCGTAATCCGCCTATAACACCACATTTCGAACGCTTCTAACCTTTTCTTTTCCGCCGCCCCCACTGTCCATGTGCTCCAAACATACACCTTTAACAATCTTTTTCGAAGTTTTAAATCAACCGTACACGAGCATAGAAGTTACTTCTTTTTATTGAAGGCGACTCGACCCTGCGCTATCCTCTGCTTTCAATCCCGATTGCTCCTTCCGTCTTGACTTATCTGACTTCCTAGATACCTAAAATACCAAGGTACCAAATTTAACAGTTGAAAATGATGGTCGTTATGCGAGAAGAGGGGTTAAGTTCTTCATCACTAATTTTCTAATTTAGATCGTATTTGATTTCATCAGCAATCCATAGGCAGTCTCGATAAAAAAACCGACTAAGCCGAAGACACTGAAGGGATCAAAATCGCGATCGACAAATTACTGACCAAAAACTTAATCCTTTATCTCTGGAACATCACTATCACCTTACCTTAACAATGAAAGAGTCAATTACTATCATTTCTTTGAAAACAGTGACGTGATACATTTGAGCAGCTTTAAATATGTATTTTGTCAAGAACAAATTATTGTACTTACGAAACGGTCGATTTGAAACTAAAAATATCTGAAATGTTTTAACAGTAGGTACGCTTATTCAAAGACTCAAACGCAGCAAATTCTGTATTTTCTTTGAGCAGCTGGACCAATTTCACTGAAGCAGAACTCATATTCGAATATGAAACAATTTTAAACTAAAAAAAAATAATAACCCAGATACGTGACGTTATGTGTTAATTTCTTTTATTTAAACACGTCAAGGAGACCCTGACTATTTATAAAAGATGATTCGAATCGGGGGACTTGGCAAAACGTTTCTTCTTAAGTTCAGTATCCTACGAATCCTGTGGCGTTAGGTGCAAGTACATACGATTCGATTATTTTACTGATAGAAGTAGGTAACAGTGCTTGAAGCAATTTTTATTACTAATTGTACGCAACTAACTTTGAAGTAAAAGCTTTCGAAAAGTAAAAAAAGAAATTAAAAATTAGAGCATGTTGATCGAAGCAGTTGTTTAACGTAAATCTATGTCAAAAGTTATTTGGGTTAAGGTGAGGATATTAGTAGGAAATAAATCTTATTGAATTCAAAGGTATTTATTGAAATCGTTCGCATGGGAAATATTCGAGGTAAGGTAAACGAATTTCAGTTAAAAATAGATTTTGTGTGGAGCTTCGTGTTTCAAACGTAATATCTATCTAAAAATAAAAAATATCTATCTAATAAAATTTCAAATGTAGGTGGATTGAATTAAAAAAAAAAACTACAAACGGTATTTTACATTACGTAAACATTTCCTTTAAAGGCTTTAAGAAATACTTTTACACGAATTTGTTGATTCATTGATTGTGTTTTTGTCATTCAAGTGACCATGAGTACGAGCCCATAAACCCACCATCGGACGAAATGGCGCACAGCGGTCCCCCTAAGATTCATATCACCTCACCCCAATTGCACACTCGTATACACGACGTCCAACATGACAGTGCCCTGAGTAGTACCACATCTCTGGAAAGACAGTACCTTGGCGGAGCCAGTGGCGATGAAGACCTCTCAACTAGAAATGCGGATATTGAGGAGGCTGCTGTTACTCCCCAAGAATTACAAACTCAAATAGAGGAAAGGTTCTTCACCGCTACTCCAATGACTGCCCCCTCTAAACAAGATACTGACATTGCCAACAGTCAGACAGATTCTTCAACTGTTCAAAGTGTATCCGCAACAAAAAATGAGTAAGTCAGATATGACCATGAAAAGGTACGTATTCAATTAATTTTATATTAAAATTCAGCTCTAAGAAGAGTGGTGAGGACAAACCAGAGGACCAACAAGGTAACAAATTCAACGAGGCCATAAAGCACCAAGCTGAAGCACTAAAGGCCCAAGCGGGGAAAATCAAATCAAAGTTCCAAAATATGAAAAAACCAAGCATATCGAAGCCAAAATTTCAAGCACCTTCGTTCAAGATGCCGAAGTTGGGGGATCGTGCGAAAATACATATGCCTTCTTTCAAGAAAAACACCGAAAAACGATCTTCTTGGCAAGAACAACGACAATTTTCGACCGAATCAAATGTAGGAGAACCTAAAAAGCATTTCGACTTTGGCACTTTTCCCAAATTGTTTGACAGAAGCAAAAAAGGTAGAAAGGGAAGCCTCGGCGATTTTGACTCCGCTCCATCGAACGTTCAAACTAATGAAGCAGCACCACAGCCTGAATTTGCCACTGTTCCAAGAGCAACCAGAAAGAAGGAACCAGTAGGGTCCAGGTGGTCGAGTAAATTTAAAGACATCGACTTTGCTGATGACGAACAGAAGGAAAATCTTTCAGAGCAGAGACCAACTTCTGTAAGAATTTCCCTTCACGAAGAAATCGAAGATATTCCAGGCGATGGTTCCCACATAAGATACAACCAAGATATAGACATAGAAGAAGACTTCGAAAGGGAAGATAAACAAGTTCATGAAGTGTCGCCATTGTCCCAGGAATATTTGAAGAGGTGGGAACACGGGGAGTTCCACGAAGGACCAGTCCCTGCGAGACATCGCTTGCAAATAACTGACTTAGATGAACCCCAAACTCCTCCAGAACTCGAGCTGCCACGATCAAATGGCGTTCATTCTTCAGGAAGTTTAAGCGATCACAGGTAACGTTGTTATGTTATCTTATGAACTTGACATTCTCTAAATTTAATCATAAATTTGTTTAAGGCGTGGTGTTATAGAAGAAATTGATTCAGACGAGTTCTTTTTGAGAGAAAAGGGAATTTCTCAAGAAGACATCGAAGTTGGGAAATATCTCAGTACAGAAATAAGAGAAGCTTTCAGAAATCCAGTCAATAGTTTATCACAAATAGATGGTCTAAATGGAGAATCGGATCAATCTCTACAAGAACCACCTCCGAGAAAGAAACCCGCCAGAAAACCAAAGAGAAAGAAGACACCCCATGTATCACAAGAAAATGTAAGCTTTGATCAAGAATCTGTAACGGAACCAGAAGAATACCGCACAGATGATATTAGATCATATCCTCCACCTTCCCGTCCGAAACGGAGAAGTAAAAGTAAAAAATCCAAAAAGAATAGTCATATTCCATATCAAGAAACCATAGCAATGGATGAAGAAAATTACAATTTGGATGTAAGTATTAAAAAAAGATAAATCAGTAGTGTTTCTGACTTAATGCCTTCTTCTATTTTAAGGAAAATTTAAGAGACATTGAATCAGATATTTTGCCAGACAACATTCTTAGTTCTGATGTTCAGCAAAATGGATTCCACCAAAATACAAGGCAGGTGTATGAAAATGAACACATGCAAGGAATAGAACAACCCGAAATTGTAGTCTCGAACCCATATGCCAAAAGGGATTTCCAACCAGAAACTGAACAACCAGCTCCACCCCCAAGAAAACACCGAAGTTTGAAGAGTTTAAACATCTCAGAACAAGATTCTATTCTTGATGACAGCATTGATTATAAAGATACTCCCATGCAGGAAGTAGGTTGAGAATTTACTAGGCTCATGTTTAATAATAACTTTTATCGAAATATTTTTTATTCCAGATGGTTGTATACAGAGGAGAGCATGAGTACATCATTCCAACCCCGGAACCACCTCAACGCTCTAGAAAAACCCGTTCTAGGTCTCAATCGCACGTAGATGACGATCGAACATCGAGAGGCGCCGATTCTCTAACATCCGAGAATCTTGTGCCAGTGGTTGAAGAAATTTGCATAAAAGACATTCGAGACAGCAGTGGTTACGCAATTATCGACAAACAGAAACCAAGAGACCCTCCTTTGCCGCCTTCACGTTTTCCAACCACTCCACCCAGAAAACGTAAAAATAAGAATATCGAGAAGACCAAAGTAATTACACAAACGAAATTCTTTACTGTACCACGCAAACAGCAAAGCGCAGCACCCCCCGAAAGACCTACCCGTAACTATAGCACCCTGGGTAGTCCAAGCAAACCAATCAGAAAAAAGTCGTTATCTTCATCACATGTAAATGCAGATAATAAGGAAAACATTGATATCAGTCAATACACAGAGATCGAAGATCAACCTGTTAGAAGACTTCAATCTGGCGAAATTGTGCAGAAAATGAAAGACAGACCCCTTCCAGCACCGCCACGTCCACCACGTCGGCAAAGAGATGGTAGGGAAGCCCTACAAGATATAACAAATGGCGATAGCCAACCATCAGGGTCTGAAGAAAAGGAGCACCTATTCGACGAAACTGAAGTATCAACTCAGACCGAACCGTTACCTGACGATGTCATATGCGAACCTCTCACACAAGAAGAAACAGATAGAGTCATTTTACCAACAGAAGGAAGGAAAGCTGAAAATAGAAAACAAGAGTCTTTTGAAGAGACCATTACCCATGGAGCATTGATAGTTCAGCCTCTACCTTACTCTGCCCTACATCAGACAGGACCAGGAGTGGAAAGAGTCATACCAACTCGACTCGAAGAATCCGATGAAGAAACTTCTGAAATTCCAGAAGATTTCAAAAAATTAAAGTCACCTTCACAACCTACTGAATCTTCAGCTGACAAGAGACCAATAACTCCAACGTTTGACTCCAGTGCGGAAATTGAATTACTGAAGACTCAGAAACTTCAAGTGGCCGATTTGGACGTAGATAAACTAAGAGTCAACCAATTACAAGCAAACAAAATAATGGTATCAGAAATCGAAGGATTCAGTATACAGGTTAACGAAATAAATTCACGCTCGGGGAATTTAGTGGTGAGTGGAATAGAATTGCCACCTCATTTATTGCAAGAATTAGTGGACAGATTGCAGTCGATAGTTCCCCAGCAATCTTCTCAATTCGATGAAGAACAGAGTGCTTCACAAAGAACAGAAACTGAAAGCACATTAAAAAATCGACAAGAATCTGTTCCAGAAGAATCGAAAAAAGGAGAAGAAAGCGAGCAACAAAAAAAAACTCCAATTAATGAAGAAACAATTATCGAAGAAAGCATTATAGCTTCTCAAGTTGCTGAAAGTCATGGACCTTTAAAAGAACAATTTGATGAAGCCGGCTTGCAGGTGAAGTCAGAACATGTTCAAAATTTAGAAAATCAACAGCTCCTCTTAAACCAACAAGCCCCCGGCGAATCTGAAGACGAGCCTCCAAAGAGACCACCCCGAAAAGCTTCAGTTACCAGTGCTTCAATTACCCAAGAAACAGAAGAAGAAACCCAGTTGAATTCGTCATCCCAAAAAGCCCCTCCTTCCTCAAACTACTCGGCGTCTGCATCTTCGCTACAATCAATAAACGCAAACGAACCTTCGTCGACCAAAGAGGTAAAAGAGTCAGAAAGAGAAGAACCCCCACCGCGACCCCCTCAACCCGAGTATATAGCCTCCCAACCGCCCGCTAGCTTTTTTGCCCTTAGATCGCAACCCTATTCGGAACTTTTAACCGAAGCCATTCCGATGCCTCCCCGTAGAAAACGCCACTTTAGGGCGACATTAGTAACACAATCTAGTTCGGAGGACAATATTTCGCCACCTAGGAGACACAGATCACCTGAACCATCGATTCCACAATTAACCGGACAATTGACTCGAGCTTGTATTATCAGTGGAGAAAATTTGATACGAAGACTGATAGCATCATTTTCCGATAACGTGTTGAGAAATAAAGACGGAAAACAAGATGCTTATGTGATGATCATTATTTTATTAGTTCTTATTGCAGGTATTCTTCTTCTGACCGGAGATCCGAAAATCATCGTGCATCATCATCATTGGGAATATTTTAATCCACCGCGGGATTTGTGATAAATTGTTAGTTACAACGGTAAACTTAAAGTGTTTTGTGTATGTAGGCATGCAGCGGTTTATTTTTTCAACTTTGTAAGGCGATCGCTGTAAAGACAATTAATTTTTTGCGAAACGGAAGGATACGTTTCTATCTTCAGGTTTGAAACGATGATTTGTGAAGTATGCACGATTTCCTGTCTAAATAGTTAGGGAAAGATCTAAAACCATTTTAACTAATTAACTCCAATTAGTCATCAATACGTTTTCTGCCAACATCACAAGTACAAAGTCATAAGATACGTGAATTGGGAAATGTGTTAAAACGACGAATAAAAAAAACAAAATAGCATTTAAGAATAAATTAAACTTCCAGGTCAATTTCGTTTTAATTTTCTATTAAAAGATCTGCTAACAAGTCCATAAAAGAAATGTAAAAACATTCCTAAATTGAATCACTGGAATAATAAATGGTGCTATTTAGAGTCCTTTTTGCAAATTCTAATTTTTTCACTTGTGCGGTTTTGAAAACAAAAAAAAAGTTGGGGCAAGTTTTAAAATTTAAAACTTGAATTCCAATAAACAATATGCACTAATTTCGACTTGTAAATAGTCTCATATACATGTACGTAAACAACACGATTACTATGTTATCACGTTTGCTCTTGTGTAAAATACATTTTAATGAAATCGAAATTTAGCTTTGTTATATGTAAATTTATTAAATAAAAGTAACTAAATTTTATTTCTCGATTATTATTACAGGTATAAGTAATATTTATTAACTAATTCAAGGTGTAATAATGTACACCAAGAGGGATGAATGTGCTTAACTTAATGTTGATTATCTTAGGTAGAGGATGTCAAATTTTTGATTATATTTGGAATATCGATTAAAACGAAAAATTAGAATACTTAGGATCAAATTCTTCAGTGTTAGTGAATCAAGTGGAATAAGAAATTCAAACTGTTAAATAGTGACGAAACAGCAAACTTTTAACAAGTTAGTAGAAGTAGAAATCCTGATGCTTTGGGTTATCTTACAGTTAGGTTGGGCAAGTAGCTGCTTTTATGATGTAGATGGCGAATTAGGTACTGTCTTCTTTATTTCATTTTAGTATCATTTATTCGTAAATACTTTACATATTTTTAAAGGACATGAGGCCACAGATCGTTCGTTAATTTATTGGAACCTCTTGCAGGTGTTGAGAATGTGATGAGAATGAATGATTTCAAAATACATATTTAGCAAACAGAACTCCTAAACATTTGGGCATTAAAATTTTTCATGTAATAATAGTCGTTTGTGTCAAATAATCTAAATTGGCAATATTAAATTTACTAAAGGTTATAGGTACCTTAAATGATTTATTTAATAGGTTCTTCTTTGTTTTGTAACAAAAGCAATAAATTAATTTTCTACTTAGAATTGACCCATTGTAAAAATGTTTTTGATACGTTATGGAGTTTCTTCTTTCTCTTCAACTATTATAAATAAACAACAACACAATAATTCTAATATGAACGATAAAAATGCCATTTAACAAAAAGCTTTTTATTCAATTACTTTTTCCACACGTAAATAATTACATAGCAGCAAAAAAAAACGCCTTTGTTGATAAAATGCCTATCGAAAACCATGTGGGCAAGTTCAAATGGACATCAAAGAATCGAGATGTAGATTGTTTATCAGTCTGACATTTCGACGTTGTTACGGTCTTAAATTCCAAGTGACTAATACAATGATTTATTTCATATTATTTCAGTCTTGTTACATTTATTGTAAAAAACTGACGGTGTGGTGAAGTGAAGTGGTGAAAGTGAAGTGTAAAAGAATTGTGTGTGCACTGTTTAACAGGAATGGAGTATAAATTGAGGAAAAATATATACGAAAGGTAATGTGATAATAAATATAATAGAAAATATCTACAGGTAATTTCTGTAAAGGTACACATGTATAAGGAGAGATAAGAAATGTTTTTTTCTGGCCAACCAATTAAGGCATTATTTAATTTTTTGTTTGTTAAATTTTTAATGAATACTGTTAAAGTTTTCAATACTACTTTTTGTAATGCTTATATGATATTTTACTTATTTCTTACAGGTAAGAAATACTTTATAACAATCAGCAACACGAGTAAATTTGTCAAGAATCAAGTAAGTGAAAGTTTAATAGCTACCTCCCTACAAGAGTACAAATAAAATTTTCAAATTTGGACGCGCAAAATTTCGATATTTACGTTGATCCAAACCAATTTAAATTTTTATGATATAAGTATGCCGTAAGGTCACAAGTGTTTTGGGGAAAATGTGTTTCAACAAAATCGAAAGAAATGATTCATTATTAGGGTCCTTTTGAACCAATTTTCAAATTTTTAAATCGCTATATATGCAGTGGTTTAAACGAATATAAATTTGCATAATATCTAAGCGCGGAAAGATGTGGTAAATAGATGGCATGTATTTTGATGAAAACATCTTTGATTTATTATTTCGGGTCCTTTTTATCTTAAAATCAAATTTGGAAACGCAAAACTTCCTTCTTTACATTGGTTGAAGCCAATTTACTTTCATATGATATAAACGTAGCAGGGTGTCGTAAGTAGGTAGCATCTCTTTTGATGCAATATGTTTTTGGGATATTGAAGTTAGTGATCTATAATTTCGAGTCCTTTCTAACTTATTTTTAAATTTGGAAACGTATGTGTTCCTCTTTTATATCAGGTCAAGTCGATTTAAATTTATATAAAATAAAAGCAGCAGGGTGTCGTATGTATGTGGTATGTTTTTTGATGCAATATGTTTTTGCGAAATTAAACTTAGTGATTTATAATTTTGTGTCCTTCTTAACTTATTTTTAAACTTGGAAACGCATAACTTCCCCCTTTACATCAGTTCAAATCAATTTATATTTGTATGATATAAACGCTGCAGGGTGTCGTAAGTAGGTGGCATGTCTTTTGAAGCAATATGTTTTTGAGAAATTGAACTAAGTGATTTATAATTTCGGGTCCTTTTTAACTTATTTTTAAATTTGGAAATGCAAAGCTTCCCCCTTTGCATTAGTTCAAGTCAATTTAATTTGTATAATATAAAAGCGGAAGGGTGTCGTAAGTTGGTGGCACGTTTTTTGATGAAATCGAACTTATAGATTTACAATTTCGGATCCTTTTTAACTTATATTTAAATTTGGATACGTAAAACTTCCCCCTTAAATTAGTTTAAATAAATTGAAATTTGTATAGTATAGACGCACCAGGGTGTCATAAGGTGACATATGTTTTGATAGAAAATGGGTTTTTGGGAAATTTATGTATATGATTCAT